ATCCTTCGTAATAATTTAGACTTTATAGCCCTTTAAAATTAATATAATTACCCCTTCTATTATTTTTAATTTATATACTAACCTATTTAGTATTATTTATAAAATCCCTCATTTATATTATACTTTAAATTTTACTATATTTCCGAAAATTAATTAGAAGCCCCGCTTTTCCTAATAACTTTCGTAAAATTATTACTAATAAAACTTACTTCGTTTTAACTTCTAATAAACTTCTTATCCTTCCTTTTCTTATCCTTCGTCTTTAATTAACCTCTACTTTTAATTACTAACTCCCAAAACGCAACCTATATTTTCACTATTAATTAATATATATTAAATATTCCTACTGGCCTTTATAATACCCGTAATACTATTTAATCGGCAGTTATTACTATAATATTAAATAGCCCGGCTAAATTTAATTAAAAATTAGACTCTTCTATTCGTATTATTAATTATTTTACTAAATGTATATATAAACGTTTAATATAAGATAATCTTCCTAATAATTTTAATAATCTTCCCCGCACCCTATATTATAATATTACTATCTTTTAGTAGAAGGGCTACTATAAAGTAATTATAAGAAACGTTTATTATAACTATACCCCCTTTCTTTTTAGTAATAGTACTATAAATCCTATCTATATTATTTTTAATTCTAATAGTAGTATAATTACTCTTATATATATTATATTAAATAATAATAGTATTTTTACTTCTATTTATATAATCTCCGGTTCTAATAGTAAAAATATTACCCCTACTAACCCTATAGCCCTTAATACCCCCAGCCGCCCTATTATAAACGAAAATTAGGTTTAATAACGTTATAAAATTACCGCAAACTAAATTCGTATAATAACGCTATTCGAAGAACTTCTTAAACGTAATTAAATACTAATTAAATAGTATTCCAGTTCTTACTATAATTATAATTTAAATAGTACTTATAATTAATATAATCGTCTCCTCCTTATCCCCTATCCTATTATTCTAATATTATTAATAATTTGTTCCCTTCTTAGAAATATTTTATAATTTTCTTATACTATTCCTCCTCTAATCCAATTACCAAATAATACTCCCTTAATTTATTTAATTTTAATATTTATAATAGGATTTTTTTAATTTTAATTCTATTATTTAAATACTCCTAAAATTCCTCTCTTATTAATAACTAATTATTAAAGTCCAATTAGAAGAGAATTTCTATATTAAAATAATTTAAAATAATATAAACGAAAGTCTCCTTTTTAAACCCGTAAATATAAATAAATATTTAAATATCCGGCACTTTCCTCCGAAAGAAGAAAGTACGGAGTTTAATAACTTCCGTCCTAATTTAAATTAGGAAGGAACTTTTCACTTTAGTTAATAAATATAATTTATTCTTATTTTCCTCTAATGTTCAACGTTTTTTTCTTTTCTTCTTCGTACTAACTATATATTGTTAAATAGTTTTACTACTAAATTTAAAATTAAAATCGGCAATAGTAAATTTATATTATCAATCTAATTTAATTATTATTACCGTTAAATAATAATTATAGTATAATACCTATTTTCAATTCGTTATATCTTCCAATTATTCCTTTCGGTTAGTAATTATTAATTCTAAGACTTATAATAGTAATAATAGGGTCGCTAATTCCAAAAGGGAATTAGCTATAATTATTAGCAATTTCTCTATCGGAATTTATACTTTAGCCTACTAAACTTTAATTATACTACTCTTTAATTTATTAATAGATAATTAACTTTTAGCCCTTTATATTTAAATATAATTAATAACCTAAATTATAATCCCCCGAACGAACTTTATGTAGTCCGTCCGGGTAAACCTCTTTTTAAAAGCCCGAACCCTTTTATTAAAATAGAAATTAAACGGCGGATAAAAGGTTTCTATTTCTAAGTTCTATACTAGCGTAATTTTATATACCCTAGTAATAACTTTTAAATATTTAATCTAATATTTCACTAATTTAATTATAATCCCCTATAATTTCCTATAGACTTTAGTCGGCTAATAGAATACTAAAGCTCTATATATAATAGTACTATAAATATATTTAATATATATTTCCTTTACTCAAATAAAGGAATAACCTTATATTTTTATAATTAATTTTATAAATATATTTATTTAAATTTTTATCTTCTACTTTACTACTTCCGTATAAGCCCGGTAATTAAATTTATAATTTTACTAAACCCCTAAGAATCTTATAAATTCTATTAATTAAAATACTACGTCCCTAAATTAAAACATTTCCGTCCTTAATACCCTTATTTATATAAAATATATTAATTCTATTTTACTTACTTCAAACTCTATTCCTTTTGCCCCTACCTATTTTAAATATATTTCCTATATTGCCTATAAAGTCCGGCAATTCTCTTCGATAGTACGTACTATTATAATAATATTAGTATTATTTGCGAAACCGATAGTAATTATATTCGGGATTATTACTAATTTCTAATATAATAGAGTAATAAAGAGGATAAATAAAATAAAAAAGAAGGGGGAATTTTAGGGTATATTTATAATAATAGTATAAGGGCGGGATATTTTATTATTGAAGAAGAGGAATCTTCTTCTACCGGCGATAAAATTTACTACTTATTTAATAATCTATATTAGGAACTATATTTTCTATAAAGTATATAGAAATTACTTATAATTAATTCTATTAAACGCTCTCTTTAAATCGAAGAATATAAAGAACATTATAACTCCAAATTTCTAAACCGTATATACCGTATCGGTAACTACCTAAATTATAAATATTATTAAATAGCTTACCTAATTACCTATTTAGCCCTCCGGTAGGAGGTTAAACTCTTCGGCTACCTATATAAACCTTTTAACTATAAATATTTTAAAAATCTTCCCTATATTATTAAATAGTAATATATGTCACAGGGCTAGATTACATACCCTGTACTAGGCTATAGTATAGTAGATTACGTACTCTATACCTTACTATAGCACTAGTGCTATCCTAGGCATTAAAGCTCTATATAACCCACTCTACCGGGCTACACAACCCTACTTATAAGCCTAAGCTAGCGCACACTCTCCTCTTACTTCCTTCGTACAATAACGAATATTGTAACTTACTCCTAACGGTGCCCTTACCCCGTAATAGTTTATTGTACCTTCAAGATCGCACTGTGCGCGCACAATAGGTAACTATTATCGCAACTAGCGGGCTAGTAATTAATTAATCTAATCCAACGTCCAACCCTTATAGGATAGAAGAATACTATAAACGGCTTCAACAGCTATCGTAGCCACTGTACAAACTCAACCTTAACTACTACGACGACCGACTAAGACCGTTGAGGCTAGCCGACGGCAATATTAATACCCACATAACCAACTTTGTAAAAATTATTATATAAATCGGACTATACAGTAAGGAAATTGAACTACTCATCTTTACCTTATCCCTAGAGAACCCCGTTATTCTAGGACTACTATAGTTCTAACAATACAACCCATCTATAAATTAGGAGGAAAGGGAGCTTAAATTCAACCATAAGTATAGGAGCACCTATATACCCGTTACTACACTAGACTTCCAAATACAAACCCCTAAGGCGTTAAAGGAAATTATAATCTAAAGCGTTATCGAGTAAACTATTAAAGCGGCCGAGGAGGAGCAAGCTATTAAGGCGGCCGAAGAGGAGTAAGCCGATAAGGCGGCTAAAGAGGAATAAGCCGTTGAAGCGGCCGAAGAGGAGTAAACTAATAAAGCGGCTAAAGAAGAATAAGCTGATAAAGCGGCCAAAGAGGAACTAATTATTAAGATTAAGTAATAGTAATCTCCAATTTGCAAAACCCTCAAACAAAAAAAGACTAGATTGTTATAGAAGATCGCTAGAGCCTATAGTATAAACCCTAAATAATTCTAATTTACTTAATTACCTACTAGTAATCAAACTATAATAATCCCTAATATACCGCTATAAACTAAACTACCTAAATTAATTCTAAATAGAACTATTAGTAGCAAACGAATCCGAACCTAAAACCCTAAAAGGAAACCGCTAGCACTATTATTTATAATACCTATAAATATTAGTAATATCCCTATTAACCCTAACGATATTATAATACTAAACGCTACCAATTTTAATTTCACTATTAAAACTGAAAACCTCGAAGTTGTATTAACGATTAGAAAGGAAATTAACGAAATATTAAGGAAGTTAAAAACAGAAATTACTAACGGGCCAACGAATTCTAAAATAAAGGTTATAAAAGAAATATATAACAATATTTATATAGGCAACAGTACGGAATATAAAGCCTAATTTATAAACCACTTTCTTAGAGTACTTTAAAGCGAAGCGGGAGAAGTTATAGTAAAAATTATAGAAGAAGATACTAAAAAATTCTACAAAAAAGCGGACAAACCCTTTACTACTAAATAAGAAATTAAAACCAAAATACTAACCTACTATTATAAATACTAGAATATAATAAACCCTAAGGAGGCAAAAATTATCCTACAATACCGATCCTACAATTATAAGATTGAACTAATCCCTAATGTAGAATTACTTAATACCCGATTATAACTATTTTCCCCCTTAGAATTAAGCGTTATTAAAAAATAGTTAAATAATAATATTAAGTAAGGGTTTATCCGGCTATTTTAATTTCCGGCAACATCCCCGGTATTATTAATAAAGAAGCTAGGCAATAGTATATAAATTTATATCGACTACCGAAGTATTAATAATGCAACTTTAAAAATATATTATCCCCTTTCTTTAATTAAAGAGACGCTAAATACTATTTATAAAGCGAAAATTTTCACTAAACTAAATATAATTATAGTATTCAACCGAATACAAATTTATAAGGGCTATAAATAATTTACAATTTTTATAACGAGGTTCGGACTCTATAAATCGCTAATATACCCTTTCGGTTTACAAGGCGCCCCAATAACCTTTTAGAACTTTATAAATAATATTCTTTATAATACTTTAAATAAATTTACAGCAATTTACTTAAATAATATCTTAATTTACTCGGACAACGAAGAGGAATATATTAAATATATATCCAACGTACTAGATCGCCTCGAACGTTCGGGCCTATAGGTCGATATTAATAAGTACGAATTCTATATTATTAGGACGAAATACTTAAACCTTATTATTATACTAAGGGGTATAGAGATAGATATAAATAAAGTTTAAGCTATATTTTTATAAGAGGTACCCGAATCTAAAAGATCCTTATAATCTTTCCTAAAATTCGCTAACTTTTATTAACAATTTATTAAAGATTTTTCGCGTATAGCTAAACTATTATACGAATTAATAAAAAAGATAATTAATTAGTATTAAGATATTAAATACTAGAAGGCTTTCGAAGATTTAAAAAATATATTTATTATAATACTAATCCTAAAGATCTATAACTAGACGAAGAAAATAATAATCGAAATAAACGCCTCCAATTAAGTATCTAGAGGAACCTTCTCCTAATAGGGAAATAATAGCGTCCTTTACTTAATAATTTACTTCTCAACCAAATATATAGTAGCAGAATATAATTATAATATTCATAATAAAGAATTATTAACTATTATAAAAGCGCTAAAAGAATAAATACTAAAGCTAGAGGGCATATAGGAGTAGGTCGAGATTATTACCGACTATAAAAATCTTAAGATATTTACAACTACTAAGCAACTTACTTCAAAATATATATAATAGGCCGAATTCTTTAGCCGTTTTAACTTCCGTATTACCTATAAGAAAGGCCCGGAGAATATAAGACCGGATACTTTAAGTAGAAAACTAAAAAATAAACCACGAGACAAGGACAATAAGAGGCTCCTAACTAAAAAAAAACCTCTTATCGACCCAGAATACTTTAATCTAACCTTCTTTAAAAACGAAAATATATTAAATACTATATACTTACACTTAATAGCTATAGAAAAAATCTACAAAAGTTAAACCGGCCAATTAAATTTATAGGATATTAACCTCTACAAAATAGAAGTAACGAAGTTAATAAATAATTTAATTAATAATAATTATACTAAATCCAACCTAATATAGGAAATAGTCTCTTATCTATAAAAAGAAGGCCAATGGGGCTAGACCCCGGAAGTCAAAAAGCATTTTAAAATTATATTTGTAGAATATTTAATAAAATAAGGTTGAATTTACTAACGGAAAGATACCGAAGAACGAATACTTATCGACCTAAGCGATAAAAATACCCAACTATAATTAATTTACAAAATATATATAACGAGGCTAGGAAGATACCTGGGCCGTAAAAGAACGTATAAAATATTTAATAAATCTTACTACTAGCCTGGAATATATTAATCTGTAAAGGAGTTTTATAAAGCCTACTTAGTATATATAAAGATTAAATTAATAAAATATTCGTTAACTAACTATATAAAGCTTTTTTTAATACTATTCAAATCCTAATTACAAATCTCAATTAATTACGTAATACCTATAATACTATATACTAAAAGGGGCCGAACTTACTGCTATATTACAATTGTAGTCGACCGCCTAATTAAAATAAGGTATTATATCCCTATAGAAATACTAAAAACGGACAAATTAGTCAAATAGTTTATTAAGAAGATATATAGCATATATAAATTACCGAACAACGTCGTATTAAATAAAAGCTCGCAATTTATCTCAATGTTTTAGAGAACCCTATACGAACGTTTAAGGGTAGTAATAAAACTATTATCAACTTTCTACTTATAGACTAATAGGTAAACTAAGCGAATTAACGTAGAAATAGAGTAGTACCTAAAGTTCTACGTTAATTAAGTTTAAAATAATTAAGTAGATTAGTTACCCTTAATTAAATTTACTTATAATAATACTGTTTTAAAAATAATTAGCGTTAATCCTTTCTATACTAACTATAGTTTTCATCCGCGAATAGGTAGAGAGCTATCTAAACTACACCCTCCAAATTTAATAGAAGTCTAGAAGAAGGAATTTTTTAAAATTTCGGAAGTAGCTAACCGCTTTCAAACCGTACTAGAAGGTATTATTACCCTATTTAAATAAGCCCAAAACTAATATGAAACCTAAATAAATAAATACTATACGGATACCCTAAAGTATAAACCCGGCGATAAAATATTATTTAATATTAAAAACCTAATTACTGGAAGGCTGTAAGCAAAATTTATTCCTAAATTCGAAGGCCTATTTATAATATTAGAATATAACTTATACTAAATTAAACTCTAATTCCTTAAAAATATAAAAATTAATCCTGTATTCTACATACTAATAATTAAACTTTAGGAAATAGCAAGGCTCCCCAAATAACGAAATATCGAACAAAACATTCTAATCAACTAGGGAAGGTCTATAATTAAAACTAATAATAATAACGATAATAAATAGTAAGAATAGGAATTCAAAAATATTATAGGATATAACAAAATAAATAACGGGCGTTAAATATATTAAATCAAATAGAAGGATATTGATAAACTAGTATAGCAACCCGCTAGGGACTTAGAGGGATATAATAATACTATTTAGAAATATTATAATTCCTACCCTAATATACTGCTACTACTAATTTAAATAAAGAAAAGATAAACCAAGGGTAAACTAAAGAAGAAGTTTTTATTACCTTTAGACTTATTAACTTCTATAATATTACTAGTATTAATACTTAATATTAATACCAATTCAAACTTATATTAACCACTTTAATAAAGTATTTAGGTCGCCTAATAAAAAGGCTAAATTCAGTAAAAAGAAAGGAGTTTAATACGATTTATTCCGTGTATCCTAATCGAATATCTTATAATATACCTTTTTATAGGGTAACTATTAATAGTACCGAGAAATAATACATCTTACAACAGTCTTACATCTCCTATTCCCCCGGACGGCCTATACCTACAACGGACAAAATTGGAAGATAAAAAATATTTAAAAAACGTTAATAATATATATTTGAGCGTTTATACAAAAAATAAATTACTAGTAAGGAGTTAAACACGAAAGCTCTCTATATATTTATACTAATAGTAAAAGGAACGTCCTCTATACTACTATACTACGGACGTCCCTATAGTACCCCTAGTAGGGCTAGTAATAGTAAGAGTTGTTAAAATTCTCTATATACGCTAATTAGGCTAGTTTCCCGACGTACAAATAGATTATTGAGGGTAATAATAGCTCTTACAATGGGAGGGTCGGATTTAATAATATTTTAATTAGTATTCTACCCCTAAGCGGGAGTTGGAGCGCTAAGCAACCTCCCGTCTTAGTACGGGCACTAAGATTTTTTATTGCAATTTAATTAAACGTATCCTCGGAGGATTCAGGAAGCCCCACTTTAGGCAAAATAATATATTTAGATAATATTTCTATAGCAGGGAGCGTTTTAGAAGGAGGTAGTATTATAGGGCTAGATTATATACCCTATACTAGGCTATAGCACAGCAGATTACGTACTCTATACCTTACTATAGTACTGGTACCGGCCCGGGTATTAAGGCTCTGTATAACCCACTCTACTGGGCTATACAACCCTACTTATAAGCCTAGGCTGGCGCACACTCTCCTCTTGCTTCCTTCGTACAATAACGAATATTGTAGCTTACCCCTAATGGTGCCCTTACCCCGTAATAATATAAACTTCTATACGCCCGTTAGCTTTTATTAAACAATACTCTTCCTAACCTTTTTAAAAATAATTATTTTTATATCCTTAAACTATTATAAAAAATACCTGAACCGGAAACTAGCGGATACTAAATATATTATAACCTACCGAAATAATTATTTATATAACTTTAAAAATCTATTTAAATATTAATTAACGCCTGGGGCTTTATTAAATGCTATTTAAGAAAGTACGTTTTAAATATCCTCCTTAGTAATTAGTTCGCTAATAACTATTAGGTTAACGCTATTTAATAGTTTAATCCAATTTAATAAATAATTTATTAAAATATTTACCTTTAGGAAAAAATAATCGGTAAAAATTTCGGCCTTACTATTATAATTTCCAATTTCTACTACCCCTTCGTAAGTTTAAAAGGTTAGTAATTTAAACGGATCTATTAATTAATAACTTTTAATCTAAACCTATCTCTCTAATAGCCAAAATCGATTTAAATTCTTTAAAATCTCTATAATACCCTCGTACTATATAGTTCGCTATACTTTCGAAATTATCCTTTTCTTTTTTATTATTACTTTAAAAAAATCCTTCTAATTTAATACCGTCTAATATCTAAATTATATCTAATATATCCGCCGTACTTTCTTTATAATCGTTTTATATCCTAATATCTACTAATTCGCTTTCTTCCTTCGACCTTTCTTTTAATATAAAACGAATTCTTCCGCAATACTTATAAATTCTCTATTAAATTTACAAAAGGCTAACTCGAAATTTTCTACTATATTAATCCTCTCCGGGACCGAAATTCGTTTTTCCGCCGCCTTCTTTACCTTTATTATATTTATAAGACTCTGATTATATTCTCCTTCCTCTTCTACTTTCCTACTCCTTCTTCCTATTTAAATTTAAACTTTCTAAGGGTAATAGTCCGAATTAATTTACTTATACCGCTATACTCCCTAATATTCAATTTTAATCCTAGGTAAAAATTATATATAATTAATCGTTCTATTTCTTTTACTTTATATTATATTCCCGAACCTTATTAATTCTCTATAGGGGGTAAATAAATTAAATCTCTAGCGTTATACCTATATAAGGAAGCGGATAACCCCTAAATTAATCCTATTTTTTAAATTCTAATCGGGATAATAAAGGTTAAAATTTCTAATTATAATTTAATTTCCTACTAAGGGCCCAATTTTGAGGAATTTGAAGAGCGGTAACCCTTATTAATATTTTAACGTTCTTTATATTAAAATAAAGGAATGAATAGAATAAACGGTCGTTAAATCCTTTAAATTTTTAAATATTATTATAATCTAATCCTTACTAATTTAAAAATTAAAATCCTTTAAATTCTACTTCTTATTTATATATATTACCGCTTTCCCTTTCTCTAAATAATCGACCCTAAAATACTTCCCGCCCCTAAAATAGTAAATATCCCTATTTAAATTACTACTTAACTCCTAAATCGCTACAATATTATAAGTCTCCTCTTATTCGAATAGAAACTTCCCTTTCTTATATAATTTCCCTATATTTTAATAGAGTATTTTTAATTAAACTATTAATTACCCTAAAATAGGGTTCTTTCTAATCCTATAATAGAAAATAAGGGTATTACTTCCCTAAGGGGGGTTATAACTATATAGGCGCTGTTACTACTATATAATTAATTCCCCCCTATATTCTACGAATATAAATAATATATATCTATTAGACCCTACGGGGTTAAAAATTTTAATTAGGAGGTTAGGCTAATAACTTTTTTTAACTATCCTCTTTTTATACCTCTTCCAATTTATTTTTCCAAAATAGTAATAATACGGGAGTTAGGAGGGGCGTCCGGCAAAACGCCCTTATCTGTAATTTTTATTATTAATTCTAATACTTTTCTAACCGGATTCTTATAAGAGGCGAATACCTATAGTTTTTTAACGTACGCAACGGACGCTTTTATAATAACCTTCCAAAAAATAGGGTATTTTTTATAATTATATATAAAGTAACCCTTCTTCTTATATAATTTATAATAAACGAATAACCTATTCTTATTAAAAGTATAATTTATTTTATTAAAATAATTTCCTTCGTATTTAACTTCGCTATAATAGGTATAAATATCTTCCTAATAATAGAATTTCGCTATATATTTAATTCCTTGATATTTATAGTATTATTAAATATTATTCAAATTTAAAACGGTTCGTATAAATATATACCGCCG